ATTGAGCACAAAACAGAGACTGTGACATTTAACTGTAACGTTTATCCAACATCGATGACAGAGTGTTTGTAATAGCTGTGCATTATGCACGAGCTCTGTATTCAAGTCTTTTTAGCCTGATGAACTCAGCCAATACTTACAGCATCCATTTAATAGGGGTGCAACGATATTCGTATCGATATTGAACCGTTCGATACAGTGCTTTCGGTTCGGTACGCATATGTATCGAACAATACAACATTTGTAATTTATTTTATCAACTTTCCTTCTGACGATGCTGTCTGTGTTGAGCGCTCAGTGAATCTGCGTTCGACTACTCCGCCTAGGCTGCACTGTCGAGCGCAGATCCACTGAGCGCTCAACACAGACAGCATCGTCAGAAGGAAGAGCGCAGGGCAAGCTAGCAAGACAGAAGTTAAGCTCTCCTTGCAACATGGCAAATTGAACCTCCCCCACCCTCATTCAGATCTGGCGTTTGGAATTATTTTGGTTTTCATGTGACGTATGACCCTGATGGACTAAAGTAAAACAGTATGTTGGATGTGCCACGCAATGCTCAATTACATGGGTGGGAACTAGTGTGTTAGCGCAGTTAGCTCGTTAACGTGTTGGCCGTCTAGCCCCATGCACGGGGCGATCGGCGGTAGCTCGTTAACGGAGATTTGCCGTGTTGTGGCGTTAACGTCATTTCAACGAGATTAACCTGAAAGCACTAGTGGGAACACAACGAATATGACTGCACATTTACGCCGACATCATCCTAGTGCAAAGACAAAAACAACAAGCATGCTACTAACTTTAGCCGAGTCATTTAGACAGCTGTTAGCACATGATTCTCCTTATGCTGCTGAGAATATAGCCCAGAAGAAGCGGATAGTATAGCTTTTATTTTGGAAAGAGACATTTCTCTGTAATAAACTCTCTTTTCCAAAGATGAGTGATTCCTCAATCAGATACAGGGCTCGCAATATCGCTAGCCCGACGTCCCGGGGCTAGCGATTTTTCCAGTCGGGCTACCAAAATCTATCTCTGCCCTGCCCGTCGGGCTATTGTAGGAAGGAAAAATATATGTCAATGCTTTTGCATTCTTTCGGAAATGTAGCTGGGTAATTATGTCATTGGCATCGGTGAGCCACTGTCAATATGTGACATATTGAAATCGCGTTTGAATTTGCGCTTGTTTTTTGCTTTCACTTTGCAATCGCGAAACTGTGTATAGAGAGCGACAGCACTGATCTGTGAGTGATGATAATTTGCGCACCAATTCCTCTGACATCGTCTTATCAATCGTTAGCTTACTATGCAAACATGACAAGTGAAATCTCCCGCAGCTTAAACATGTGAGAGGTTGATCGCGCAGAGAATCACTGAGCTTATGTGAGTAGTAGTATTTATTTATTGTCATTGTCAAGAACAATGAAATTGCGTTTGGGGCTTCCATACAACCCAAAAAAGAAGAAAATAATAAATACCCCTTAAAACCCAAGTGTACATATTTAACCCAGTGTGACTCCAATGCAATAAGACAATCCTTAGCAATAATGTTCGTAGAAATTCAGACAAAGACCTGAGAAACATGACAAAATACAACAATGCAACCCATTCAATATTATTGTACTGTGAGATATGATATCAGATATGATAGTTATCTATTTAAGAAAGAGGGGGGGGCAGGAGGGGGAAGAGAATAAAGATATGATGCACCAATGCAGACCAGTTCATTGCTATTAAGAAGTTGGATATGGTTATTGTCCGTGAGAGGGGGGCAGAGAGTTCAGGAGCCTCACAGCCTGTGGATACAGGCTGTTGGCCAGTCTGGATGTTCTGGCCTGTATAGACCTGTACCTTCTCCCTGAGGGCAGCAGATGGAAAAGGTGGCGCGCAGGGTGATGTTGGTCCCGCAGGATACTGTGCACCCTCCTCAGACAGCGAGTGGGGAAGATATTACTGATCTCTGGCAGACTTGTTCCAATAATTCTGCCAGCTTCTTTCACCACCCGCTGGAGTGCTTGCTGATCGGCCTTGGTGCAGCTGGGGAACCACACTAGAAATCCATACGTCAGAACGCTGCTGATGGCACAGTTGTAGAAGTTCAACATCAGAGATCTGGGAATGTGTGCGCTCCGCAGTCTCCTCAGGTAGTAGAGGCGCTGTTGGGCCTTCCGTGCAACTGAGGTGATATGGTTGCCCCAGGACAGGTCCTCGGTCACAGTTACCCCCAAGAATTTAAAACTGCTCACCCTCTCCACCGCCTCACTGCCAATGAAGAGAGGCAGATGGTTGTTATGACCCCTCTTCCGGAAATCTACAATGATCTCCTTGGTCTTTTTGGTGTTTAAGACCAAGTTATTGTCGTGGCACCATGACTCTAGTTGTTGCACCTCTGTCCTATAGTTTGTCTCATCATTGTTGGATATAAGTCCGAGCACTGTAGTGTCATCTGCAAACTTAACAATGAGATTGGACGCGCAGGAGGAAATACAGTCATGGGTGAAGAGAGTGTATAGCAGAGGGCTCAGAACACACCCCTGAGGGGCACCGGTGTTGACCACAAGGGTGGAAGAGGTGTTCTTACCCACTCTGACACTCTGTCTACGGTTAGTGAGGAAGTCCACAATCCAGTTGCACAGAGAGGAGTTAAGTCCCAGTTGGTGGAGTTTGGGACGGAGTTTGTATGGCCGGATGGTATTAAAAGCCGAGCTGTAGTCTACAAAGAGGAGCCGTGCATAGGTGTTCCTGTGTTCCAAGTGCGTGTGTAAAAGCAGCAGGATATATATTTCAGTTCTGCTGAGCCAAATAAGACAGGTCAGGGTGAAGAAGTGACAGCCAAAGAAAAGCTTACCACAAAACGGAAAAGTTATGACAAATCAGACTATAAGGCAAAAAGAAAGTGCAGCTTTATGGTTTCATGGACAAAAGAATTTCTGTGGCTGCAATATGACGAGCTAAATAACCAGGGCTGCACATAAGTGGTCCGCAGGTGCGCATTCGCTGTCAAAATAAAAAACACGCACAAGGGTTAGGGTTAAATTTAAAAACTGTACTTTTGAGTTAAAATATATATTTATAATTTTAATAAATGACAAATTAAAAAGGCATGAACATTTTTTTGTATCGAAAAAATATCGAACCGTGACACCAAAGTATCGAACCGAACCGAACCGTGAATTTTGTGTATCGTTGCACCCCTACCATTTAACTACTTTGCCTGGTATTTGTATGTAATTTCATATGTGCAAGATTGGTGTTCACGTTTTGAATGACTGACTGTGTCATAAAGGCAGTGGATGTAAATCACAGTCAGAGTGTATGTGCATTGTGCTAAATAGGTCAGCCCATGCAGGGTATTTGCACAGACACAGACAGAGAGGTGCTTCAGGCAGGACTTGCTCCTCTCACAATAGACCCTTCTGCTTTCTATGCAATAAAAAGACATTAGATGCACTCGTGAGTACCAACACACAAAAAAGTACTATTAATATTACTAATAACTGCCAACTTGGGACAGTTTTATAACATTCTCCACATGAGAAATAACATCAAATTTATCTTCTGTTAAGGGTTTTCAATAAAGACACACACACACACACACACACACACACACAGGTTGAACCTAGTGTGGTCTGATCATGTGATATGTGTCCTATCAGTTCATAGGCTGGTTGCTCTGTTCTGCTCCACAGGCCACAACATAATAGGCAGAGTGCATCAATCTTTAACGTGACATTTAGCACAACAAACTACACACACACACACACACACACACACACACACACACACACACAGTGGATGTTACTTAAGTTACTGATTACATGTAAATGCTGATAGGAGTATGTTTGTAATCCTTCAAAGGATCCTTCACTTTGCCTCCTCCATTTCTCTCGCTCTCTCGCCGTGCCTTGTGTCCTTCACGTGACCTTTTATTACCTTTTCTCTCGTAGCCTGTATCTTTAAATGATAACATCCATGTAACTTTCACTGAGTCCTCTGCCACGATCATTTTTTTTATGTCATGCTGTAATTTTACTGGATGTAAGAAGCACAATTAAACGACAAACACGGCACTTGAGGGAAATGACTGCTTCTTCTTCCTCTCTACCCCACCCACTCGCTCTCTCTCTCTTCCTACCTACACATGCACTCAGCATAAGATAGACCCAGTAATGGCGATTGACTGTAATAGGCGGGGTATGATTGCATGAATAAACAGTAGTGTGTATGTGTTTAAGTTCACGTGTTGTGTTTAAAGCGGTGTAGCAGCTACTAATGACTCATGTATTCATCTGGTCTCAGTAAATCAGGGATCTGCTGACGCAAACACAAAAGACAAATATATTTGCTGTGATGATTTGGTGCATCTGTGGGTATCACTACAAACACTTTGTGCCTACAGCCACCAAAGGGATAGGAATCATGCTTAAACTCAGGGTTCCCCCTACTGAGCCGACAGTCTTATCAAACGGGATTTCTAGTTTTTTCCTCGAAATTCACAAAATGCTAAAGTTTACTGTCTGTTGCTTAAAGTTTGAAGCGATTTGCTTTAGTCCAAAGTTACGCAGCAACTTGTGTTCAGCGGTCAACTGCAGGCAGCACGCTTCTCAGGTTGTTAACCATGCAAGCTAGCTATAAGCTATTAGCATTAGCCGGAAACGTCCCAGGTGCTGAGGTTTTGCAGACAGTTGACGGCAACATTAACTTGTCGGCCGTGTTGGATGTGTTTGTAATCCTTCAAAGATGTCTGTAATTAAATAAAGATGTCAATGTAAGATGAAGCAAACGAGGTCCAAGTCGCACTGACCTACAGACCACACAGTTCCCCAACCAGCTGGCAAAACCTCCCTATGATTGCTTTGGCTGCTAGCACACTGCTAACTTTTTCATTAAGCTAACTTTTGGATCAGATTTAGGTTTTTATTTTTGTTATAATGGATTCAGTACTGATATTGATAATGTTTACAGCCTCACAACAAAAACACGTAGAAATAAGCACATGGACGTACTACTGCGCTGAATCGTTGAGCTGGTACTCTCGTGCGCGACTGAAGCACTCCTGGATGCCCGAGTCAGACCACAGACGCATCATGGCGGAGAGCAGCTCAGCAGAGTAAGGCTCCGTGTCCTCCATACGACTGACCACATCGCACACCATCTTAGCATCCGCCTGAAAGAAAACACAGCAGGGAGGCAGCTCCAGGTTAGCGTGAAGAGGCTGTGGCATTAGAAGAGCATCATACTGATTATGAGACGCTGGAGTACAACAGTGTAGCACTGTGTAAACAATGTAATCAAACCATCTTTGTGAGAAATATTTAGAATGTAAAAGTTTCAGACGTAGCACGAAATGTGTACACGTACACGTGTGTCCTTGCAAAGAAAAGCGTCTGGACTTCTTTAAGTTGCTTGAAGACGTTTCACCTCTCATCCGAGAAGCTTCTTCAGTTCTAAGGTCAAATGGTGGAGAGTCCCAGATATAAACCTAGTGGGAGTTTCCCCCCACAGAGGGACAAAAGGACCCCCTGATGATCCTCTAATCGCCTGAGCCAAGGTGTGAAACTGGGCGTGGGTCCCAATCAGCCAGAGTTTCGGGTGAGCTCATTGTGAAACCTGGCCCCACCCTGTCATGTGATTTCCTGAGGTCAGATGGCCCAGGATGTGAGTGGGCGTTAAGGCGTCTGGGAAGGGATCTCAAAACTGGATTATAGATGGCAGACAGTTGGTGTCGTAAACCACCGACTACATTGGAGAGACCAAACAGCCACTTCACAAGCGCATGAACACAGAAGAGCCACCTCCACAGGACAAGACTCAGCAGTCCATCTGCATCTAAAGGTCAAAGGTCACTCTTTCGAGGATGCCAATGTTCACATTTTGGACAGAGAGGACAGATGGTTTGAAAGAGGAGTGAAAGAAGCATCTATGTCCACTGTGAGCGACCATCTTTGAACAGAGGCGGGGTTTACGACACCAACTCTCTGCCATCTATAATCCAGTTTTGAGATCCCTCCCCAGACGCCTTAACGCCCACTCACATCCTGGGCCATCTGACCTCAGGAATTCACATGATAAGGTGGGGCCAGGTTTCACAATGAGCTCACCCGAAACTCTGGCTGATTGGGACCCACACCCAGTTTCACACCTTGGCTCAGGCGATTAGAGGATCATCAGGGGTCCTTTTGTCCCTCTGTGGGGGGAAACTCCCACTAGGTTTATATCTGGGACTCTCCACCATTTGACCTTAGAACTGAAGAAGCTTCTCGGATGAGAGGTGAAACGTCTTCAAGCAACTTAAAGAAGTCCAGACGCTTTTGTTTCCAAGCTCCTTTGATTAATTAGAGGGCAAGCAGAAATAAAAAAATGTCAAGAATATGACAAGAAGGAAGACAAAACAGAGTGACAGCCATTTCTTCTCTTGGTGCAATGTTTCCACAGGAAGTGATGTAAAAACCAGATTAGCACAAAGCTGCAACAACATACAGACAGTCGACTTCAGACATTTGGACTTTATTGGCTAATAACAGCAAACACGAACAAAAAAGACCTCTTTCAACATTTTAGAGCAGCTGGGAGGGACAGAGCTTTTTTAGCCTGTTTGTTTTTAGCTGCAGAGGCCCAAAGAGGCGGTTGTTGTCGTGCAGCTGTGATCTGCTTCCTTCAGGGCAGAGCCAGCTGATCTGCACTGGCTGCCTCCTGGACAAAGGCGGCAGCTACATCAGCTCCTGGTAACTGATACAGCTGAAGAGGAGTCGCTGTTTGGGGCATGTGATTACAAATGTCAGCGCCGCGCTCCTAGCTTTGGGTTATACCCAAACTTTATTTCAGCTTGCCAATAAGCTCAGAGTAAAGCAGCTCGGAGATCCACAGCGTTTGATCCCAGCCCCCTCCTGGCCTTCGCTCTTTCATTATTGATTTCTTTTCTCTGCACTTACATGATCGTTGTGCCAGGACGCCCAAGCCCTGACCTTTGGACTCCTTTATCAGCAAAAGAAGCCAGTGTGCACCGTGTAATTGTAACAGAGTGACTGCTGTAATGAATGTCTTTTTGTCTTCAACACACACACACGCGCACACACACATTGCTGTCCTAAACAATAACCTGATTGGGTGATAAATTCATATTTGCTGAATGATGATGAAGGTTAAAGGTGAAATGCAAGTGAATGAAATTGAAATATTTGATGGGCGTCGACTTTGTTCAGATAAACTGAGCTCTGATCTGTTACCGTCACGTTTCATTTGCTGCACTTTGTTACATTTTGCAGACCATTTGGTATTTTGCACATGTTGAAATCCTCCCTCGCCTGCTGCCAAAGTCCATACCTACAGCACGACGTCATCGTTGCTAGAAAGCTCTAAACAGGCTCATTGTTCTTGAGCTGGTGATGCAACAGTAAAAGTGGCAACATATTCATCAAAAAACAAAGCTGACTTAATCAAAATCGCCGTGGCTCGGTGATCTCTGCGTCAGCGAGCTTTAGATACGAACGTATATTCTGTGATATCTACGAGTCACTGTCCCCACAGTGAGGAAAAGCACACATTCAACAATGAAAAATAAAATACGAGTGCAGCTGAGTATCCGAGTTATCACTTCATCTACAAGCATCGTTCGATCGCTGGAACATTACGTCACCAGTTTTTAAAGCCGTTCTTCTCTAGACTCAGACAGATGTGACTAACAGATCACAACAGCTGGAAACATGAGCTACTTGAAGTTCAAACTCCCTACAAACACACGATCATCTGAGTGCAGACATGAATCAAACTCATGGATATTTCACTGACGGTCACGCAGGTCTATAGTGCAGCCTGAAAACAGACGCACTTCATTTACTGGATGAGTTCACGTTCGTCCCTTCAGAGTGAAGTTAACACTGTCCAAATTAAACAGATACAGACAAAGGAAGGGACATTTCCTCCTCCTTAATACTTTAATCCTACATTCTTCTGATGTCTTACACTCTCTTCGTTTTCTGTTTTCTGTCTCTGAGTCACTGTAAACCGTAATCTCTCACTGACTCTTTAAAAATAAAGAAATCTTAAGATCACACTGACCTGGATGTACACTTTTAGATCTACAATGTCTTTAACCATTAATATAAGGTTCATTTTATGAGACTTTTATGAGAGCTGTCCATCAAACCGCCATGCTGACTCAACGTGAGACGACCTCGGCCCACAGCGGCTGAATTTGAAAGGTGTGGTGTAGTTGTGGTCAGAGAGCCTAGCAGCTGAGGCAGACTGTATAATGATGGAACTGCTGGGTTTTCACCGTTTAGTCAGAAAGTAAACCAGGAGATGTGTTTTACTACTATTTTAACAGCCTCACAAAACAACCGAGTGAATGTGCTGACCAGTTACTTACAGACGGGTGGTTACATGTTGGGTCCAACTACAACTTTGTAAATCAGATTTATCAGGCTGCAAAAATCACTCGTTGAACTGTGTGAACGCTCTGGCAGCTGTTTGTGTACAGTAGGTAATAGCGACGCATCCTCACTTCAGTTTCTTCACTCCTTTATTGTTGCTCCGTCACTCTGTGGCAGCTCTTCTCTCCTTAAAGCTTTTCTTTAATAAACTTCTTCCCACCTTCATGACATGGACACGACCTGCTCTAGTCTCTGCACCGTGTTATTTCTGTCACCACAGAGCGTACACATGACAAGCGTGTTTCTACTCTACAGATTTGTACTGGTTTGTTTCTATGTATCTGCATGCTTTGAGGAAATATGATGTGCATAAACACAAACACACACTCAGGTGCGTGTGATGTTATTAACCCTAAACCTTGATGATGTAGCTTATTTGCAGCGATGCTTTGCTTCTACTTTATGCTCTTAGCCAGAACCCACCAGGCAGGGATGTAAAATAAACTTCCTGCGTCTGTTAGCTTCAGTATTTTTACATAAACATGAGCTTAAAATGCTCAGCAGTTCAGTTCATAATGTTAGAGTTTTGCCTGACGCTCACTCTGTGTTTCAGTCTTGTAGCTGTCATCAAAGCTCAGACGCTCTGCATCAAAGTAGGCAGTGACCATAGTGGTGGGGTGGGCGGAGACCAAACACATCTAATAATCATTGATTTGATTTGAATTTTCTCAGGTATCCAGAAAATTCAGATGAACTGTTCGACATGTTAGCCGTGTTACATACATATTTATCTTTCAGCTTTTTCCAGGCAGCAAACATGGATTCCACGTATTACTACGGTGAGCTGTAGAAAACCAGCTTAGTCATAACACGCACTCGAGGAATGAGTCATACTTCTACAGCGTCCTTTGTTCAAACAGGGACATGGCTACAGACTGAAGGACACAGTGACCTTTACACCCTCTGAACTCTGTTGGATGTGTACAGACACGCACACACACACTCACACACACACAGCACACACACCACACACACACACACACACACACACACCACACACACACACACACAGCACCGCACACACCACACACACACACACACACACACACACACACACAGCACACCCACACGCCGCACACACACACCACACACACACACAACACACACACACATACATCACAACACACACACACAGACCCTAAAAAACTCACACACACACACACACACAGCACACGCACCACACAGCACACACAGACACACACACACACACACAACACACACACACACACACATGACCACACAACACACCACCATTAAACCCGACACACACACAGCACACACACGACATAGACAACACACACACACACACATCACCACAGCACACGGACACACACGGCACACACACACGACAGCACACACAGACCAGACACAACATACACACACACACACACACACACACACACCACACACCACACACACATGCACACACACACACGCACCACAACACACAACACACACAACACATGCACAGCACACACAGCACACACACACACACACACACACACACACACACACAGTGTTGGGGATTTTAGCTACTTTTTTCTCCAGTTAATGACAGCTGATGAACTTGCTTCTTATGCACTCGGGTAGTTTGGGTTACTTTACTCCAAATGCATGTGTGTGTGTCTTTTTATCTATTTACCTGCTGTAAATCCCCACCTAGTCAATGAATAGGCAATCAATGCTGCCATCATCATCACCGTGATCATTCCCCCAACGGCCTGTATCTCAATCTTGTTACCATGTCCCAGCATTCAATAGCCAATCAGCACAGTTCAGCACTTACTGTTGGCCTTTCACTGCTCACTTACTGCCTTTCATCTACAGCCAAATCATCCCCTGCTACTACATCAGTACGCCCACCCAGTGCAACCCACA